GGGAAATAAAAAAATCCTCAAATAAAATAATATCTAGATGTGGAAGAGAAAAGTGGCCCCACACCTCAGTGAAAATAATAAAACTGTTAAAATAGAGCACTGAATCTTTGTGATTTGTCTTCTCAACAGAGTCAAAACTTCAGATGAGCTGTCAGGTGTGTGATGTTTAGCTCGTGTGTCTTTGTTAAATCCCTGGAATGTCTTCAGACTACCTGCAAAGTGAATGGCAGTCCAGTTGCAGGATTAGCTGAAACAGCATGAATGACAGAAATACTGAATCTCTTGTGTTCTTGTTTTGCAAATACATATAAAATGAATAGAGATAAGGGATTTGTGTATATTTGAGGACCGTATGGATTACTCCATGTAAGGTGATAAAGCCAGTCAAAGCTTAATAGTGAGTCCCAGGATACACTCTTAGTTTATGAGGAATATATGCAGATAACATTTGATGTACCCAGGTAAGTGGAAAAATGTACCCAGATAAGTGGGAAAAATTAGAATTAAAACCACTAAAAATTTATTTAAAGTATTTGTTTGTGGACAATGCACTGTTAAAGATATACTGAATACAAATTATTTTAAGGAATTGAATACTATTACAGTGAAACCTTTGTTATCCAGCATTCTGTTAACCAGAAAACTTTAACCAGCATTGTCCCCAGCCACAATACTGTCATATCTTCAGGCGCACAGATCTGGCTTGGTTTGCCATGATTGGCTTAATAATTTTTTATTTAAGAAGTACTAATCATCTTTAACTCAAAATAGAAATGTGAGACCAACTGCCTCACACTACAAAACTACCAGTATTAACTTTAGTTTTACTATTATTGTCCATTGGTTTTTCCTTGGTTGATGGGACCGTCAGATAATCGGAATTTTTAGATAACCCATAACGCCCTAATCCCCAAGCGTGCCGGATAACACAAGTTTTACTGTAATGTGAAAAAGTGAAATGAAAACTGGAGGATTATCAAAACAGGTCTTATTTTTGTTTTGTAGACAATGGATTCTTTGTTTCCATCACCAAAATTTTTAGACATGGATCTGAAAATAACTCACATTCAGTGCCACCCAAAGGAAGTGCTCGTGACATTTCAGGGCAAATATAAGGCCGAATGTGACTTCGATTACCACATATTGCAAAAGGAAATACAACATGTATCCAAAGTAAAGGAAAGCATTGGTATTGGCGAGTTTTGTTTGGTGGAGGACACAAATGGAGAATGGCATAGAGGAAGAGTTCTGGAAAAGAAAGAAGAAATCTGTAAAGTGTTTCTCATAGACATTGGAGAAGTGCTAAAAGTTAATGAAATGCATGTTGCTTCTGCTTGTGGTGAATTGTTCCAGCTGCCTCCAAAAGTAGTGTGTGGTGTATTTGCGAACATACTTCCATTTGGAGAAAATTGGGGTCCAAAAGCTATAAATTATTTTTCTTCTCTAATAGGATTACAGATTAAAGGTCACGTTCAAGCAATTTTACCATGCCAGTTGTTTCTCCTTGAAGTACCAAAAGTCACTAGTGATGTTCTAGAACTGCAGTTAGGAAAACTTGTTGATAGAGATTCATTTCATCTTATTGTAGAAATGTTAAAAGAATTACCCCAACAGCTCCTTTGCAAACAAATGCCAGATTTGCTGCAACAGAAATACACAAAGCCAGATATATCCTCTTTCAGCAATGCTGAAAATCTACCAATTCAGACAATTCTGGATAGATTCCTGCCTTCTTTATCTATTGGCAGTATAGAGAAGTTAAAAATTACTGTTGCAATCAGTCCAAGCAAATTTTATTGTCAGATACTAAAATGGCAGAAAAGGCTAGAAGACATGACCACAGCAATGACTTTGCATTATGAAGCTCTCAGTAGGGAAAATATTCCATCTTGTGATAGTTTTGGAACTCTCTGTGCTGCAAAAAGACAAAAAGGACAGTGGCACCGGGGAGTGATACAGCAGCTCCTCTCTGATGGCCAAGTAAAGGTCTGGTTCATGGATTTTGGCAACAGTGAAGCTGTTCCTTCCAATCATGTTCTGAAACTTCATCCCAAATTCACTTCCTTACCTATGATTTCATTTCAGTGTGCGCTGTCATGTTTCAATGATCAGAGTGAAGCTGTAAGAAATTCTCAGCTGAAAGAATTTAAATGGGCCTTGCTAGGGCAGAGTGCTGTGTATGCCAGCATTGATTTATTCAATGCCAATGAATGTTTGTATTATGTTACATTACATACTCAAGAATCTGATGTTAATGCTAAATATCCACAACAGATGAATGAGGTAGCTGAAGCAGGTTTCCTAGTTTCTAAAACAACTGTCACTAATACACTTGGAAACATCAAAGCTTATGAAGAGATCTGTGTTTCAGTTGAGAGCTTTATTGGGAACACAGAACAAGTAGGAAACTGCTTAATTGAAAAGGACCCTTTATCAATATCTTGCAAAACAGTAGAAATGAAAATAGATTCTGTTAATGTTGGTTTTGTTGAGTACGTGTTGAATCCATCAAACTTTTGGATTCAAACTGATGACTATAACAGTGAGTTTCAAGCCTTGATGAAAAATATTGCAGAGGTTTATAACAGATATGGAATTTATGATAAGATTGTGGAAAGGGCACTTATCACTGAGGTTGGAGATGTAAACATTAACGTTTATTTTTTGGATTTTGGAAATACAGATACCATACCCTTTCATGATGTGAAAATTTTGCTTCCAGAGTTCTGTAAATTACCAGCACTTGCCATGCATTGTTCACTTGCTCATGCATTTCCCATTGAGGATATATGGGTTAAAAAAGAAACGGATTTCTTTAAAAAAGTTGTATTTGACAAATCACTCTTGTTTTATGTCATTGCAAAGCAAAATGGTAAGTACATTGTTAATGCACAGTTTCTGAATGGCTTGGAACAAATAGATGTTGTCACACTTATGGTTCAAGCTGGATATGCTGAGTATTGGGAAGTGAAACCAGATTCTCTTTTGAATTTTGTGAAAAATTCCAAAGGCCTAAATTCAAAAAAGAAAATTAAAAAATATATAAACACACCAGGTGCATTAATTATACCTAAAAGTAAAGTATCAGCAGTGAGAAATATCTATCAAAACAAACAGTTATTAAACTCTTTTTCTGTGGGAAGAGAGTCTCTTGAATCTTTGCCAAGTTGGGAAAGTACTCTTTCCAAAAAGCACCGTGTAATATCTGGGAAAAGTGACCCTATTAGCTCTTACAAAGAGTTGTCATTTAAACCAGGAACAGTTCTTGATGTCAAATGTTCTCATATTATTTCTCCATCTTATTTTTTATGTCAGTTGCAAAGCAAATTACCAGAACTAATGAATTTAATGGAGCAAATTCAGAGTTATTATGAAGTGCATAACAATCCTTATAAAACTGGACAGATTGCCTGTGTTGCAAAACACTCCAAGGATGGGAAGTGGTACAGAGCGACTGTTCTGAAACAAGTATCCAAAAATGAAGCTGATGTGATATTTGTAGACTATGGTAATCAGGAAAGAGTTCTACTTAAGGATCTTCAAGCTATTCTTCCAGACTTTCTAGCTTTGGAAAGTCAAGCATTTAGATGTAGTCTTAAGGTCATAAATGAATCCTCACAGATTTACCCATTCATTTGGACTAAAGAGACATGTAGGGATTTTGAAAACTTCATTTCTGCTTGCAGAGGGCTATTTACTTGTGTCATTTATGCTCTAATTCTCATAAGACCTAACTGCTTGTATAACTTGGTTGATTTACAGACTCCATTTATTGATGCACAGCAGTTTCTCATGGACCATGGCCAGTCCCAACTTAATAGATTCACAGAAGTACTTAAACCATCAGTTTTTCTGTATAGTTTTTGCTACTCCTCTTTTAATATAAAAATTGGAAGTGAAGAGGAAGTATATATAACACATGTATACAGCCCAGCAAAATTTTATTGCCAGCTTAATCGTAACACTGAAATTATAGAGAAATTGATGAATAAGATTGCAGAGATTAGTAGCATTCTAAACAGTTCAGAATATGACCCAAGCAAAATACGATTATGCATAGCCAAATATTTTGAAGATGGTCTCTTTTACAGAGCTTTGGCATCTTCCATGGGATCATCGTCTTATGTACTAGCCTACTTTGTGGACTTTGGGAATAAACAGATGATAGAGAGAGACAAACTGATGCCTATTCCCAATCATGCCACAGATTTGCTATTAACACCCATGCAAGCCATTAAATGTTATCTGTCAGATCTTAGAGAAAGAGAAATTCCAGCTGAGGTCAATAAATGGTTTGAGAAGAATTTCCTGGGTAAACCACTGAAGGCAGTAGTAGTATCCAGAGAGTCAGATGCTCAGATTGGTGTGGAGCTGTATGATGGACATATCCAGATAAATCAGAAAATTCTACAATTATTGTCTGAAAATGGGAAAAAGTACACAGAAGAATTGCGGAATATGAAAAGTTGTACAGAACAGTCTGTTGAAAACAGTAAGGTGCACAAAGCAAAGCCTTATAAAGGTAATAAAACAAAAGTTAAAAATATTGAGAGAATTGCCTTGAAATCTAAAATAACTCAAGTACATGATATATCTTCTCAAACTTATTTTCAAGAGGATTTTGAGAATAAAGAACAACCTGTGTTTTTTTCAGAAAAATTGTATAATATCCCCTTTAAACCACTGATATTCCATGGGAATAAAGAGCTAGTTTATAAAAATGTGAATGTATCTTCAGAACACACCAAGAAAAACGCAGATGGAAAACTTACTCCTGAATCCCTACTTTGCCCTGTGTTCAATTTGCAGGAAATCCCTGAAGACATGACTGAATATTGCACCAACAAACTAGGCCAACAAGAAGGTAGATTAAATAGACCCAAATACATCAATCTTCCTCCACATAATATTGAGCTGAATTCTGAGTTAGCAGGGTACATTTCTAATATAAATAACCCCTGTAGTTTCTATATTCAACTTGCAGAGGATGAAAACATAGTCATTCAACTTGAAGAAGAACTAAATGCTGGAAAAATAAATGTAGACCATCAAAATGACCCGAGTGAACTTGTGGCAGGGAATCTTGTTTTAGCAGAATATGCAGTTGATAGTTTCTTATACAGAGCAGTTATTAAAACTGTTACATCAGGAAACTCCTATGAGGTAGAGTTCATTGACTATGGTAACACAGCAGTTGTGAGTTCCTCAAAAATTTATAAAATTAAAGGAAAGTTCTTAACTTTGCCTAGGCTCAGTATCCATTGTTTCCTTAGTAGAGTAAAAAGCACTCATCCTGATGGAAGCTGGAATAGCAATGATATGTTCTACTTTTCCAGAAAAGTAAATAATAAACAAATCACTTGTGTGTTTTTGCAACAACATGAACAACAGTGGGAGGTAGATCTAATTTGTGATGGAAAGTCTATGGTTAATGAGTTAATGAAGAGACATGCCAGCTTAGGTTTACAAAACATTCCAATGCTAAATATGGAAACTAAAACAGAACAAGAACTTCCAGTCACAAATGCAGATCCTGAACATAAAGAACTAACAAAGACATCTAGAGCTCGGAATAAATACAAGGCTGTTGAAACTAAAAACACTTCTGAAATTCTCTCTAAAATCCCTAACCAAGATCTGAATCCTGGACAACTAGAAAGAGCAGAAATTATTCAGATTTCAAAATGTGGAAATTTCTACATAAAATTAATGAAAAATGTGCAAGTATTTTCAGATTTAAATGTAATGGTTGCCAAAGAAGCAAAAAGAAACTCTTTGATTGCAGTAGAAAATATTCAAGAAGGATTGGAATGCTTGACAAAATCTAAAAGAACCTTGAAGTGGTACAGATCAGAAGTGAAGCAACTTGTTAGTGACAAGAAAATGTTAGTTTTCTTCATGGATCGTGGTAGATGTGAAGTGGTATCCTTGCACAAAACAAAAATGCTCAGTAATGAAATCAGGAGCATTCCTAAACAAGCTATATCATGTAAATGGATTTCGATTGAAAATTCAGGTGATATGTCCTATGACTGTGTGGTAAATGCAATTGCACATCGTGAAGTAAAGTTCCGATTTCTGAGATACTTGCAATCTTCTTGTATCTGGGAAGTGGATATCTTAGTAGATGGGATTTTGCTTTTGGAATATTTGAATCAGATCTGTGGGCAAAGCAAGATCAACAAAATTAATTGTTCAGAAAGTGCAATTAATGTGTGTTCCAAGACATCTATACTGTCTTTTAGAATAAATTCAGTTACATGGGCACTTCTCCAAAGTGGTAATCAATACCCTGGATTTGCAACTACAGTTACTGATCCTTCACATTTCTGCATTCAATTAGAAGACTTACTTGACACTATGAAAACCTTATTTGTGCTACTTTCTGACCTTCCTGAAAATTTGCCTAGTTTGCCATGGGATCTTGTGACTCCTGGTACAAGTTGTTTAGTCAAGTTTGGGTTGGAAGCACAGTGGAACAGGGTAGAAGTTTCTGAAGTTTCAGATCAGTCTGTTGTTCTTATGTTTATTGATTATGGCTTTCTTGCTTATATTCCCTACTCAGATATTGATAAACTGAAAGTTGTTCCTGAAGAACTTACTTGTTTACCTCGATTATCTTACTCTTGCTCCTTATCTGGTGTGATTCCTGCTAAAGGAAAACACTGGAGTGATGAAGCTAAACTTTTGTTTCAGGAATTTCTAAGTAAACAAGGCTTGCTTTTTCAGTTTAAGCAATATGGTTCTGGAATGAAACTAGAGGTAGACATTCTGTGTGAGCAGAATAATCTAGCAGATAACTTGGTGGCAGATGGTTATGCTGTCTACAGTAAAAATACATGCTGCCTTGTTGGAATTGACAGTACAGAACCAACTGAGCCAGGCTCACAACTTCAAGGTAAAGCTCAGACATCATGGCTTCTGCCAATTTCTGAACAAAAACATATCTTTACTGAAAGCACTTTCTTGCTAGCTGAAAAAGAGAATCCCCAGCAGCAAACACCAAATCTGCAACATGAAAATGTTGGTGCGGTTTCAAGAAGTTGTATCAACAAGACATATTTTAGAAAACAGTTCAGGAAGAAACTCAGTTCATATAGGAATGATAAAAATACTGCAAAAGATGAACTTGAGTGTGATAAAAATGTATTTATGCAGTTTTTGAATAAGACATGCAACACCATTGTCTTAGAAAGACTTACTGAAAATCTGCCTCCAAAAGCAATGATTGAGACATGTGACTCTGCTGACATGAACACCAGAATGAAGGAAATGAAGATTAGCAAAGAGATGGCATCAAAAGAATGTTACAATAGTAAGTAAGATTCAGTGTTAAAAATACTTTTTTCAGTAGAGTAGTACAGAACCTCAGCTCTATAATATGTTTCCATTTATATTATAAAGCAAGTAGGTCTTATATAACTTTTATATAAGTTTTACACTGATGTGATACCACTTACTTCAATGGACTTACTTCCCAATGATACCAATACAGAGTGTGGCCTTTATTTCTGTTTTTATGTACCCAGGAAGGCTCATCACAAACAGGAATAAAACCAAATTGTTTGTTATGAAGGAAAGGAACTTTAGTACCCTAACACTCTCTTATTTCTAGAACAAAGATCACTAAATATGGGCCTGAACTAATACATTAAAAAAAATAGAAGACTTCATTGCCTTCTTCTGGCTTGATATGAGGTCTTAAGATCTAAATGGTGCTAATTATGGAAAAGTTTGAGTTGGGAGGCAGAGTGGATTTGTACCATGCCATGAGGTTCTGCCTACTCAAAGTAGAGACCAAAATTCTGTGTTGCTATTATGACCTTGGGTGGAGGGCACATTCCATACTTCCACTTCTCAACATGTTGCAGGCACACAAAGGTGGATAGAATCTCTCTGTTACTGTCTTTGATATATTACAATGGATTTTAGAAGGTTTAAATGTTTTTCTTCCATAATGGCAAAGTAATAGTTTGAGAAAATAATTGATTTGTAATGTTAGTCTTCATCTGTGGATGCTGAAAACTCTTTTCAAATGGATGTTTCCAATAATATAACTTTGATAAAAATGCGGTGTTTTTTTGTTTGTGTGTGTGTGTGTGTTTGTTTTAATTAATGCATTCTGACAACTCCAGAATGGTTGAAAAGACAGCTTACATTTTCTTAAAGAATTTACTTTTGGATAGAGAACTTTAGACCAAAATTGTAAATCTCGCTGTTATAAGTGTCTGAATATGGTAGATTAGAATGAAAAATGCTTTTCATCTCTACTAGACATTTTAAATGGTGCAGATGTTGTATGATACACAAATAAGAATTAAAAAAGTTTATTAAATATGGACTGGATATTATAGATATATGTAACTTTGTTCCCAAAATTGAAATACTGAAATTATTGATTTTCTAGATACGGAAGGCTTGGATATTGTCATGGCATCTGAAATAAATAAAGGCCACGAAAACGTCTCATCATATCAACTAGAATTTAACTTCTCTCGTTGCCATTGGTAAACTATTCAAAAGAGGTCAAAGATACTTTTAAAATGCTAAAATCCATGACAGTACTCAGATTAAACTACAGTATCCTATTAATCTAAAATCAAAATTGGAGAGTTGAAATTCACCATTGTTAATAATATATGTGTAGTTTATGAATTACCAATTGTGTTACATCGGAGCTGATCTTGCATTCACTTGTGACTGTCTTAAAAATCATTTTCCTCACAAAGAAACTTGTTATCGTTCCTTTATATTTATAGTTAATTTTGAATTATTTTCCTTTGCTTGCAGAGTTAGATGAGTACATTTTGATTTTTATCTGTTAACTTACTAAGTGTTTTTCAGCAAGTCCTGTGTCCTTTCATTTTGTGTACTATTAACTTCTACTACAATAAAAATCGTATGGGCCAGATTGTAAAAAAGTTGTTCCATATTTTAGAAATCTGCTAACCTCAGTAGGATTTATTGTAGTGTACTATTTGGTATGAGAGCAGATACCCCATGCTGGCCTTAAATATTCAGGACCTTATTCAACCCTTTGGATGTCCACAGAGTTCTTCTTTAATATTTTTTTCATTCAGAAAATATAGGCGCACTTGTAAGCAAAGGTAACCTTGAATTTAATGGAAGAAAAAGCCAACTTTTATTTAACAACAACAACAACAAAAAAGACTGAACAAGAACTGGCCACATCTCCAGCTCAATTTCATTGTTAATTATGGTAGGCTACTGGACTATTTTTTGAATATTAGAGTATTGTTAATGTGGCCATCTTTTTTCAGTTTCTTTTTATGTTATTCTAAAGCAATGTCAACCAAATATTATGAAGAGTAACAAAATGACAACCACTGTTAAGCAGCAGTTCTAAATAGGTATATAAATTTCAACCAAATATTCTAGAAATGGAAAGTTTGTCCGTTTATTTAAAAGCTTGCCTGTTGTCTTTAGTCATGCCTTGAATGTGGAAAAGTGTAATGTAATATAAATAAATATGGGGGAAAAGATCTCCCTTATGTCCAAATCAAAGACTACAACCATTTTAGGGTTTATGCCATACCGTGTCAAAGCCTGTTCCAACAGACTACTTCATATTGTGTGAATATTGGAGCACCATGTAGAGTAAAGATGTGGGTGTACCACACAATTGAAAGGAATGGGAAACAAGCTGTATGTAGATTGGTGACACATTTTTCAATGAAGTATGTAAATAAAAGTGATATTACAAAATCCCCTGGCTCATACACTGTTGGCTGTTTTCTGTAGGTAATAGGGGAAAAGTATGACTTGATAAAGGATTTGAAGAAATAGTGGTTTGTCAGGCATTATGGTATTTGCATAAGGGGTAGCATGGAAGAAGATATGAAGGTGACCTGGTGAGAAAGGGGAACCAGAGAGGAGTCCAGCCTGCAGCTGAGCTGGCAGGAGCTGAAAACTGCAGTAATAGGGAGCTGTGAACAGTGATGATGCCATCAGTGCCTGAGTGGTTTTTACAACAGTCACTCTGGATAGTCTTTTCATTTCAATGATTCTGTTCATTTCTTCTGCCCTTCCTCACAATCTTTCTACTTCTGCCTCACTCTCTGTATTCCCCTTTCTTTTTTTTTTACCTCTGCCCTTCCTATCCAATGAATTTGCTCCCAACAAAACCACCCTCCACAAATAATTGTAGAAAACCATCACATTAAAATACCGTTTGAAAACTATCTTTAAAGTATAAACTCTTTGGAGCAGTGACTGTATCTGAGTTTGTATTTGTACTGGGTTGAGCACAATCAAGATCCAGTATTATAAACAGGATCCTAGGTGTTATAAACAAACAATACATGACCAATATTTACTGCAGTATTCCGTCTGTCACCAGAGGTATTTAAACTTTTTTTTATGCCTCCAAGAACATCATTTTAATTGGCAACTTGAAATCTGGAAGTCCCTGCAGGCCAAGTAACCTCCTGCTCCCTGACCTGCAAGCATCCCCTGCCCATGATACATTCCAGACAGGTGGCCCCAGCAAAACACAGACAGATATGCTATGGGTCTCATCTCACACCCCTAGGCTACGTCTAGACTGGCATGATTTTCTGCAAATGCTTTTAACGGAAAAGTTTTCCATTAAAAGCATTTGCGGAAAAGAGCGTCTAGATTAGCACGGATGCTTTTCCGCAAAAGCACTTTTTGCAGAAAAGTGTCCGTGCCAATCTAGACGCGCTTTTGCGCAAAAAAGCCCTGATCGCCATTTTCGCGATCGGGGCTTTTTTGCGCAAAACAAATCTGAGCTGTATACACTAGCCCTTTTGCACAAAAGCTTTGCGCAAAAGGACTTTTGCCCGAATGGGAGCAGCATAGTATTTCCGCAAGAAGCACTGATTTCAGACAGTAGGAAGTCAGTGTTCTTGCGGCAATTCAAGTGGCCAGTGTAGACAGCTGGCAAGTTTTTCCACAAAAGCAGCTGCTTTTGCAGAAAAACTTGTCAGTCTAGACACAGCCCAAGAGTCCCAGAATTACAGCCACAGGCTTTTCTGGTCCTCGAGCAATCCCCAACATTCATGTATAAGAACCTGTACAGACAACCTAACTACTTTCCATGGGGGTGACCATACATCAGCCTCAGGATAGATGAGCAGGCAGAAGTACCCCCCCTCCCACAGACACACCGTCTCTTCTGGGAGAGGCCACACACCTTACTCCTCATCCCTTCCTCCCTCCTTGTTCTTCCAGTATGGAAGCAAGTAGCAGCAGTTAAAGAAGGAGCCTAGTGAGAGGAATTTTTATCCCTTTACCTTATAATCTCATGTGCCCCACAGTTTGTAATTGGGTGTGTCTTGATAGAAATAGTGCAAATAGTGAGGATATTTTACTCCGTTATCTACGTTTAAAATATTTTAACTATTATTAGTTTAGCTATTTTATCTAGCACAGTTTTGATTCATCATGAAGAGTAGGTCAGTGATGTTTTATAAAGCAAAGTCCAGACATGTATTTCTTTGTTTCTGATATTTCATGTTTGAATTATATTGCCATCTAGTGGCTCTGTGAATATAAAGCAAATCTTAACAAATGGTGTGGCTTATATGAGTTTGGTATGCTTACTCCTGTTTTTCCATTTTCCTAAACATAATTTTCCTGGCACTTTTTGGTTTTGATGTTGGAAAATGGTAATGCTTCCTTATAGAAAGGTGGAATGTAGGTGGAAAATTAAATCTCTACAGTATCTTACAGACAGGCTTAGCATTATGAAAGAACAATGCCAAATGCAAATTGTAAAATAAGGAAGATATTTAAATTAAATCAGAAAGGCAACGATTGTGTCCTGAGAATTTTTCTGTCTCACTCTAGACTTTTTAAGATTTGCAGTTATATTCAATATGTGAAAAATGGTAGTTTACAAAATGCTCTAATCTCCCTCCTGCCCCCACAATACACACACAAACACATGAGATAGCATTTTCAAAAAAGCTTGATTTAGGATTTCAGGTCCTACTGACTTTCAATGGGATTTATGTTCCTATGTCCATTGGGTGCTTTTGAAATATCTCACCCTCAGTTCTTTCATTCCAGGAGTTATGTTTTTCCAGTGTAATATATATTTCCATAATTGTTCTCCAAAATCATCAGTATGCTGAGATGTTAGGAGAGAAAAAATCAGATCCAAAAATCTGGAAGTTATCTTGTGTTATTTATCCAATTGACTTTTAAACGACTTTGGTCTGAATAAAACCATAGGATCAGAACATTTATTTATATTTGTGTTGATAGAGTCATAGATTTTTAAAGCCAGAAGGGTCCATTAGCTCTGATCTCTAGTATAACATAGCCAATAGAATCTTATGTGGTTGCCACATTACTAAGCCAGTTCTCAATGTGTATAAGGCCAAAGGTGCTTGAAGACTTACCCAATTGTTAGAGCTGCTATAGAATTTTTTCACAAAACATTTCTTTGACAAAAAAATCCAGACACATTTAAACAAGTACTGTTCTTGGGAAAGGACCAGTTTTGACCAATTTCACAACTTAAATAAATGTTTAAAAAAAGCTCTGAATTGGTAAAATGTTTTGACATTTTCCAAGTGAAAAGTTTCAGCTTCCCAGTTCAAAATGACTTTTCCTTTGAAACTTAATTTAAAAAGTTTTAAAAGGAGAGAAAAAGCTTGACATTGTAATATTTGATTTACGTAGACCAATTAGTTTTAATCTCTTTGTAGAAGATTTCAAGATCTTGATTTTTCAAGTCAAGTCCTGTTACTTATATGGAGACTGATAAAGACTGATCGGGACCCCTCCATATATAGGATTTATAATGAGATACCTCACACTGGTGTAATAGTAGTTTAGCTCTGTTAAAATTGAGATACTCCTGACATATCCTAGTATTATGTAGACTTGGATGCAAGCTCTTGTGAAAAACACTCATAACGTAAGCAAAATTAATTGCCTCCGTTCTAGTATTCAATTTCAGTTCTCATACTGCCCTTCTCACCTTGGTAGGACCTGTTAGTCCTGCTCCTTTTCAGATACTATTGTTGAATCCTCGTCTTTATTTAGAAAGCTGGGGACAAAAATAAGTCAGATCAGTTCACCAAAGAAACCAGCAGAAAAGTGGAGGATTAATGTGATAGCCAGTTTATAGATTCTTGGCATGAAATCCTGCTTCCATTTAAATCTATGGGGGTATGTCTACACTGCCACCCTCCTGCAAGGAGGTTTAACGGTAGTTCGAATTAGGAGCTTTAATTTGAACTACCTACTCTGTGCTGCGTGTAGCCGTGGGCTGGTAGTTTGAACTATGGGGCATTTAAAATGGTGGTGCCCGGGAACATGCAAATGAAGCCCAGGATATGTATATCCCGGGCTTCATTTGCAAGTTCGAATGCCTACATTAGCCACCCTAGTTCAAATTAGGGTGGCAGTGTAGACATATTCTGAGAGTTTTACTATTGGACAGAATTCCACACCTGTGCATGCCTCTAGCTCCTAGCTGTTGAAGGGAGGGGGCAGAGGAGTAAATCACGGTATGCAAGTATTTTCCCATTGCTCCCTGATAGTCCAGGGAACAGGAAGAAAAGCAAGCTGTGTCACAGTGCACACGGCTGCTGTCCCCACTCCCCCCCCCCCCCAAAAAACTCCACCCTTGTACCCTGGTAATTTCCCTTTTCTGCAGGAGGGCTGAATTAAACCTGGGTCTCCTGTTTTCCAGATGACTATTCTTACTAGTGTGTTAGAAGGTGGGTGATGCCACCAGCTCCTCTGGCAATTTTGCATGGAGTTTGTTAGACACAGTGTGGGTGACTAAATCCCCAGCTGTCTTTGTGTGAGCTTGCTTATGGAGTTTGATCTGCTAAGGACTGTTCCAGTGTGTGCATCGCTCTGGATGCCTGGGGTGGAGCAGTAGTGTGTATGTGCAGAATCAGAAATATAGGCACATAGGGTTTCAAGAATGCCAGTGGTGCCTGTCCCTGGGATTTAGGTGCCTAAAGCATCTGCTTGTTGCCTAAATCCCATTTATGAATCTGTTGAAGCCACTGCATAAATGTACATGCATTTTTGCAGGTTTGGAGTTTTGGCTATCAATAATGACCTTGTAAGTATTTAAGTTTTTTATTAATTGTAAATATTGTCCAGTTGAACCTCTATTTTTATGGGCTTTTTTTGGGGGGGGAGGAGGAATGCCTGTGTGACTGAGACACTAATAATGCAGAGGTCAGATCTCTTTAGAGAAGATTGTGTCTATTTTGTTTTTCTTCTTTTCTCTTTTTGAAAGGAAACTTGTCCTGATGGGATACCCTACTTCAAGAATATAAAGTCAGTTCTAGCAAGCTCTTCTTCACCTTTGGGACAGCTGAATACAAACACAGCTCCTGACCTAAATTCTAGGAGGACAGCAATTACAAAATCATGGAAATGGTCTGGGGTTTGACAGTTTCAGCAATAGCAGTTTCAGGGGGAGAGTAGTTTGTTGCTGTTTTTTTCCTTTAAGGAACTTTTCAGGGTGTTTTATTTTTTTTTCATTAAGCTTGGCTTCCCTGTATTGAATTGGTTAGTGACAAATATCCATTTCTTATTTAAACCAGCCATAACAATAGAATGCTTATTTGCAATATGATTTAGTGATAGATAACATACCTAAACAGACTTCCTATATTCCTTTTTAAAAAAATTAAAAAAAAATAAACCCCACCAATGCCATCTTCTAATTTTCTCCCACTGTATGGTTGTTCTTACAAGAAGTTTTTCCCTGGCTTATCTCTCTGGGGATGAATTTAGAGGCTGGAAATCTAA